AGAAATAGCAAAACTCTCAGACGCACAGTTTAAAACACTGGTCATCAGGATCCTCACAGAACTGGTTGATTATACCCACAAATTAGACAAATATATGAAGGTGAAACTAATTGAAATGAATGGAATTGCACAGGACACCAATAGCAATGAAAAGAAAACTGGGACTCAAATCAATGGAGTGGACCAGAAGAATGCAAATAATGGCCAAACAGAAAAGAGTCAAGAAGCAAGAATTCAAAGAAATGAGGAGAGTCTTAGGAACCTCCAGGACATCTTTAAACGCTCCAACATCCGAATTATAGGGGTACCAGAAGGGGGAAAGGCACAGCCACTAGTGGAAAACTTCTTTGAACAAATAATAAAGGAGAATTTCCCCAATCTGGCAACGGAAATAGACTTCTAGGAAATCCAGGAAGCCCAGAGAGTCCCAAAGAAGTTGGACCTAAGAAGGAACACACCAAGGCACATCATAATTACATTAGCCAAAATTAAAATGAAGGAGAGAATCCTAGAAGCAGCAAGAGCTAAGGGGACAGTCACCTACAAAGGAGTCCCCATCAGACTGTCAGCGGATTTCTCAAAAGAGACCTTACAGGCAAGAAGGGACTGGAAAGAGGTATTCCAAGTCATGAAATCCAAAGACCTATAACCAAGAGTGCTCTATCCAGCAAAACTTTCATTTAGAATGGAAGGACAGATAAGGTGCTTCTCAGATAAGGTCAAATTCAAGGAGTTCATCATCACCAAACCCTTATTATATGAAATGTTAAAGGGACTTATCTAAGAAAAGAGTTAAAGAAACATGAACAGTGAAAGGACAACAAACTCACAGTTATTAACAACCACACCTAAAACGAAAGCAAACTAAAAGGACAGCTAGATCAGGAGTGGAAACATAGAAATGAAGATCTCAAGGAGGGTTAGCAACAGTGGAGTGGGAGGAGGAGAAGGGGGGAGAAGGTACAGAAAATAAGTAGCATAGACAGTAGATAGAAAATAGTGGGGGGGCAAGAATAGCATGGGAAATATAGAATCTAAAGGACTTGAGACACATGGTCATAAACTAAAGGGGGGGTAATGGTGGGGATGGGGGGTAGGGTGGAGGGGAATGAAAAAGGGAATAGAACAACTGTAACAACATAATCAATACAAAAATTAAAAAAAAAAAGAACCAGCTCTTGGGTTCATTGATTTTTTTTTTTTAAGATTTACCTATTCATTTTTAGAGGAGAGAAATATTGAGGTGTGGTTGCCTCTCACATGCCCTGTATTGGGAACCTGGCTCGCAACCCAGGGATGTGCCTTGATTGGGAATTAAACTGGTGACCCTTTGGTTCCCAGCCTGTGCTCAATCCCCTGAGCTACACCAGCCAGAGCTCACTGATCTTTTATGTCATTTTTTTAGACACTATCTCATTTATTTTTGCTCTGATCTTCCTTCATTCTACTGACTTTGGGTTTTGTTTGTTCTTTTTCAAGTTCCTTTAAGAGTAAATTTAGATTGTTTATTTGATCTTTTTGTTTATGTTTGTCTGTTTTTTTTGTGTTTGTGTGTTTTTTTTTTTTGCTACAGTCCTGTAATGCTATGAACTTCCCTCTTACTATTGCTTTACCTGTGTCACACAGATTTTGGATTGTCCTGTCCTCATTTTCATTTGTTTGAAGGTACCTTTGATTTCTTCCTTGATCTCTTTGTTAACCCATTCATTGTATAATAACATGTTCCATGTCTTTGCATGTTTTTCAGTGTTCTTGTGACTTATTTTTAGTTTCATAACATTGTAGTCAGAGAGGATGCTTCATATAATTTCAATCTTCTTAAATTTATTGAGACTTGTTTTGTGTCCTAACATGTGGTCTATCCTAGAAAATGTTCCACGTGCACTTGAAGCATATGTACATTCTGCTGCTTTAGAATGAAATGCTCTGAAGATATCAATTAAATCCATTTAATCTAATTTAAGGCTGCTGTCTCCTTGCTGATTTTCTGTTTGAAAGATCTATTCATTGAAGTCAATGGGGTGTTAAAATCCCCAACTATGACTGTATTTCTGTCAATCTCTCCATTTATGTCCATCAAGATTTGTTTTATATATTTAGGTGCTCCTATGTTACATGCATAAATGTTTAGTAGGGTTATATCTTCTTATTGAATTGTTCCCTTTTTCATTATGTAGTGTCCTTCTGTCTCTTACTATTGTCTTGGTTTTAAAGTCTGTTTTGTCACATATAAGTACTGCTACCATAGCTTTTTTCTTTTCCACTGCAATGAAATATCTTTTTCCATCCCTTTTAGTTTTTATCTTTCAATCTGAGATGGGTCTCCTGGAGGCAGTATATATATATATCTATATATGGGTTTGATTTTCTGCTACTGTATATGTTTTGGTTGTAGCATTTAAGCCATTTATTAAGGTGATTATTGATAGGTACATATGTAGTGCCATTTTGTTGCTAGGCTTTTTTCCCTCATCCCCCTCCCCCTAAAGCAGGCTCTTTAACATTTGTTACAGTACTAGTTTGGTGTTAACACGCTCCTAGCTTTTTCTTGTCTAGGAAGTCCCTTATTTCTCCTTCAATTTTTTTTTAAAGATTTTACTTATTTTTAGAGAAAGGGAAAGAGGAGAAAGAGAGGAAGAGAAACATCAATGTGTGGTTGCCTCTCATGTGTTCTCCACTGGGGACCTGGCCCACAACCCAGGAATGTGCCCTGACTGGGAATCGAACCAGTGACCCTTTGCTTCACAGTCTGGCACTCAATCCACTGAGCCACACCAGCCAGGGCCATCTCCTTTACTTTTCAATGATAGACTTGCTGGGTAAAGTAGCCTTGGTTGTAGGCCCTTACTTTTCACTACCTTAAATATTTCACGTCACTTTCTTTTGGCCCGAAACGTTTCCTTTGAGAGATCAGAGAGTTTGTGTTCCGTTGTATGTAATTACCTGTTTTTCTCTTGCAGCTTTTAGGATTCTCTCCTTTTCTTTATGGCTTGTCATTTTTCTGTATTTTGCCATGTATACTGCATAATTTTTTCACCCAAATTTTTGAGGGAAAAATAAGGATTTGCATTATTCATAGGCATAATCCATGTATAATGCACACAAAACATGGGTGCTCATTATACACAGCAAAATACAGTAATTATGATGCATCTCAGTGTAGTCCTCTTTGGGTCCTACTTGTTTGGGACTCTCTGAGCTTCCTGGACTTGTGTTTCTCTTTCCTTTACCAGATTAGGGAAGTTTTCAGTCATTATTCCTTTAAATAGGTTTTCAATCCCTTTCTCACTCTTATCCTTCTGATATTCCCATGATGCAGATGTTGTTATACTTCATGTTGTCCAAAATGTTTCTTAAGCTGTCATTTTTTAAAATTCTTTTTTCTTTTTGCTGCTCTGCCTGTGTGTTTTGTCATGCCTTGTCTTCCAAATTACTGATTCAATCCTCTGCTTCATTTAACCTACTGTTTATTCATTCCAGTGTATTATTTATTTCAGCCATTGCATTCTTTATTTCTGAGTGGTCTTTTTTTATGGTTTCTATGTTTTTTTTCAAGCTGTTGAGTATCCTTATAATCATTACTCTAAACTCTCTATCTGATAAAATGCTTACCTCAATTTCATCTAGTTCTTTTTGGGAATTCTCTTGTTCTTTCATTTGGGGGTCTGTTTCTTTGCCTTCACGTTTTGGCTACTTTATGTCTTCCACATAAAATAGCCAAACATTAGTTTAACAACTAATCAGTGATGTAGCCTCAGGCTGTAATTAGCAGCCTGGCATAAACTCCACAGGGTAGGGGAGAGTAATTCCTGCAGGTGGGGTATTGCTTCCCCTCAAGCTGATGTCACTTCGAAGGGGAGTGCTCTGCCTGAGGAAGATGGCTTCTGCACACAGATCCTGGCTGGTGTTCCTTCAGCTCTCTCCCCCAAGCCACTAACCCTAGACTCTCAAGTGTCTCCAGTCTACTCTGCACTCCCTCTGCCTGGGCCCAGGGTAAGTGGCTGTAAACAAAATTTTGTTTGTTGGCCCTTTAAGAGGCTCTCTATATCTCCAGCAGTCTCTCCTTGGCAAATAGAACTCTGCTGCTCTTCACAGCTGCATGTTATCTGGGTTCCCTTCTGGCTCTGGTGCTATAGGCTGGGGAGCCCAGATTAGGGTACAGACCCCACGGTTCTCCTGGGGGAACCCCCTGGCCACTGAAATATCACTGTGGAACTCCAGGTGCCACCCATGGAAGTCCAACCAACCCTCTCCCACCACCACCTCTACATTCTTTACCAATCTCTTTGTGGTTAAGTGGTTTCTTCCATCTCTCTGTGCTTATAAGTCTTCACTCTAGCTCAGGGGTGTCAAATTCATTTTCACCGGGAGCCATATCAGACTCGTGGTTGCCTTCAAAGGGCTGAATATAATTTTAGGACTGTGTAAATGTAACTACTCTTAAACTGGGAACAAGGAGCTCAGCACTGTGGCTGGGTAGAAACAAGGTGCTGGGCCAGATAAAACAAGGTGGAGAGCCAGATTTGGCTCCCGTGCCTTGTGTTTGCCACCTGTGCTCTAGCTAGTATTCAGCTGATTACTCAGGATTTCTCTACAATTTAGTTGTAATTCCAGATTGGTCTTGGGAGGAGGTTAGGGTAGCTTTCACTTATTCCTCCATCATCTTGGATCTCCCAAGTAATCCTCTTTTTTAGATCCCTGGGCAGCAACGCCACCCTCAAGAGAACATGTAATCTTGTTAACTATCCTGTAATGCAATCATAAAGTTTTCCATGTTGCTGTCTCCCACATTCAGGTAATCTTCCTTAATTTCCCTCCTTAATTCCAAATGTATAAAAGAAACTGCCAAGTATCATTCAGAAAAGCATTTATCTCAGTCTGTGGAGATTTTGCTTTCAGGCATGTCCTCTGTTTGGCTCAAATGAATCATAAAATTTTTCTACAGGTTTGGATATTCTTACATTGACATATACTTTATATACTTTTATATGTTTACTTACTTTAATAAGTAATGCTTCATTTGTAGCTTCAATTACTTCATTCCTGTCTTGGACTTGTTGATGCAAACTGCTTACAGTATCCTGAGCTTCTTCTAATTCTAATTTTGCCTTCTCTAACTGTTCATTTAGTTGCTGAACAGATGTCTTTTGAGAGTCAGCAGAAATCTTCCACTTTGCATGATTCTCTTGATGTGAGAGCATCTATATAGTCCCAAAATTGAAAAGAAAATAGAGTACATTGGTTTGAACATTCTACTACTTTTAACCTGTATTTAAATAAAAGTAAATTGTTTTTAAGTACAAACATCTGATTTTTCAACAAATAACATACTAGAGAAAAAAAAGGGAGAAGAAAATTATAGTCCTAAATTTACTTAAGAACAGTTAACCAGCCCTGGGTGGTGTGGCTAAGTGGACTGAATGATGGCCTGTGGACCAAAAAATTTCTGGTTCGATTCCTGGTCAGGGCGCATGCCTGGGTTGTGGGCCAGGTCCTCAGTTGTAGGCATGCAAGAGGCATGATTCATGTTTCTCTTGCATATTGATGTTTCTCTCCTTTCTCTCCTTCCTTTCCCCTATTTCTAAAATTAAACAAATAACAAATCTTAAAAGAAAAGAACAGTTAACCATATTCAATGGACCATTTCTGCATCCTGATTAGAACAAATCAAGTATAAAGACATTTTTGTGACAATTGGAGAAATTTGAACTATGACTAGGTAGTTGAGGATATTAAAGAATTACTGCCAATTTTTAGGTGTGATAATAATATTGTGGTTATGTTAAATAATCCTTATTTTTTATTCATTAGATTCCACATATAAGTGAGGTCAGATGGTATTTGTCTTTCTCTGACTGGCTTATTTCATTTGGCATAATAATTTCCAGGTCCATCCATGCTGCCACAAAAGTTAAGATTGCCTTCTTTTTTAATGGCCCAGTAGTATTCTATTGTGTAAATATACCACATCTTTTCTATCCACTCGTTTCCTGATGGCACTTGTAGGGATACATGTATTCTTTCAAATTAACATTTCAGGTTTCTTTGGATACACTGCAAGAAATGGGACTGCTGGTCAAAAGGCAGTTCAATTTTTATTTTTTAAGGAAAATCCATACTGTTTTCCATGGTGGCTCCACCAGCTTGCATTCCAATCAACAGTGCACAAGGGTTTCCTCTTCTTCATACCCTTGCCAGAACTTGTTTTACTGGTTTATTGATGACAGCCATTCTGACAGGTGTGAGATGATATCTCATTGTAATAACTCTTATCTTTTGGAGACAGTTACTGAAATGTTTACTGATGAAACAATGATATCAGGGATCTGCTTCAAAATATGTGATATGGGGAGGGGGATGAGTGAGGTTAAAGGTATAGGGACCACCACACTTTTCCCAGTTTCCTATGGCACTCTGGGTTTTATGCCCTAGTATCCTCATTAATTAGTAACAGCATCTCATTTCATTCTCAAATGTATTCTCTTTTAAAGAAACGGTCAATATACTTATCCAAAAGAAGCCAGAATTTATTTATTAAAAAATGTGTATTATTCTTACATGCTTAAACTTCAGTCATCTTCCAAGTACTCTCAATCTGATGCAATACACCAATCAAGACATTTTTTTTCCAGTGCTCAAAACAGTTTTTGAACTTATCAATTTTGATGCCTTTTAGTGCTGCTTGGTTTTTATTTCACCTGTTTCACATCAGCAAAACATTTCCCTCTGAGGACTTTTTTTCTCCAGGGAAACAAAAAATAGTTGCCTGGAACAAGACTGGGTGAATAGGGAGGGTAGGGCATGGGGTTCATGCTGTTTTTGGTCAAAAACTGCTGAAAACTCAGTGTGGTATGGGCAAGTATGCTCATAAATCATGCATCATGAAATAGGCAAATGAATTCAAAGGGTCTTCAAAAAAATTCATAGAAGCCAAACGCAGCCTCTCACCGCAGTGCCCGCTGGTACACTGATATGACAGGTTCCTAGAACACTCAAAGAGCCCACCCTCCAGAAGTTAATCCCGTGTTTCAGAGGGTTTCCGCTTGTAGATGAAATCATATTGGACAAGAGTTGTTAATTATTTAAGTTGAATAATAAAGATGGGAGGATTTACACTACTCTCTCTACTTTTGAATATGTTTAGAATTTTCCACAATAAAAAGTTTTAAAAAATCTTTTTCATAAAAAATCAGTTTTGCAGCAGCAGGGAAAATGGCGGACAGGAATGCGGGAGAGGAGAGGCCTGAGAAGCTGCAGCGAACTGGAGCCGCTGGAGGACCTAAGGAAGAAGTAGAAAAACCTGCGAAAACTAAGACTGTTTCTTCCAGTAACGGAAGGGGAAGTTCCAGTCGCAGAGCTGAGAAGTGATCAGCTGAAGAAGAAGCTGCAGACCTCCCAACAAAGCCTACAAAGGTCTCCAAGTTTGGATTTGCCATAGGTAGTCAGACGACAAAGAAAGCCTCAGCCATACCCATCAAACTTGGATCAAGTAAACCTAAAGAAACTGTTTTAACTCTTACTCCAAAAACCCTTTCAGTAGCAGCAGCTTTTAATGAAGATGAATATAGCGAACCAGAGGAAATGCCTCCAGAAGCAAAGATAAGGATGAAAAATATTGGAGGGATACACCAACATCAGCAGTACCAAACTCCTTTAATAAAGGAAAGCATGGGTTTTCTGATAACCAGAAGCTATGGGAACGAAATATAAAATCTCATCTTGGAAATGTCCATGACCAAGACAATTAAATGATATGTTTTGAAATTGAGGTGTGGGGTGGGTGTAAAGTTAAAAGGAACAGTTACCTTTTTAAAGAATGGTATAAGACTATCTTTGGAGCCGCTTTTTTTTTAAAGATTGAATGGTACACTAAGAAATGAGAATTTGAAAAAAAAATCAGTTTTGCAATTAAGTGACTTTTCTGACATTTCTGAAACCTATATTTTGAAAAATACTTTTTAAATTTATTGATCCTTTTTTCTATTACTTTAATGACATAGTCTCTCATTTTTATATTCAAACAATATACATACTTCAAGTACCAATGAGAAAAACATTGCTTTTTTTTTAGCATACAGGTATTTATGAAACAAAAATTTGAAATTTGTGCTGCCTGTCACTACCAGAACTAATAAGTAGAGACAAGGATTGAGTCTTTATGGGTGCTTTATTCAGATGCTGGTGATCTGAGAAGACAGCAAGCTCTATACACTGAAATTCATTTCAGTCAACCTTTTTTATAGCTATAAAAAGTGGTCAGACCTGGAAAAGTTGAATATCCTACACCATCTGTCTAAGAGTCCTGTCCAAAGACAAAAAATTGCAGGAGTTTCTTGAATAAAGATCAAGCATTATTATTCATATGACAGAGAAGACATCTTTAGATGTCTTTCTTAAGAACTTCAGAATATTCCCTGTATGATTTTATAGGCTCTTTGTGTTATCACTGATTTTAAAAAAAACACCTTGTTGCAGAGGCAGGAACTGGTTCTAGGAGTTTTACTGTCCAGCCATGGAAACGTGCTTCACAGTAGCCCTTGAGCCATTTAGTATATTCTTTACTGATAATTCTGGTCTTTCCAAGAGATCCAATGCACTATATGTAAAAACTATGAGTGTCTTTCTTTAAGGATCATTAAAAAAGTGTGTAAAGTCTTGGATAGTCTCTAAATGGGAGGTGATCCAATCTAATTGCAAATGCAAGGTAAAGAGATCACTGTACAGCTGGGAGACTTTTTCATCAAATGCTGCAACCCAGATCTCACTTCTCACACTGTGATACAAGTGCTGGTTTTTTTGAGGGAAGAGCTGTTTTTATTTTATTTATTTGTTTGTTTGTTTGTTTGTTTTCAGACAGAGGGGAAGGAAGAGCTCGAGAGAAACAGCAATATCTGGCTGCCTCCTGCATGCCCCCCACTCCGGACCCGGCCTGCAACCCAGACATGTGCCCTGACTAGGAATCGAACCGGTAACCCTGGTTCACAGGCCAGCACTCAATCTACTGAGCTACACCAGCCAGGGCAAGAGCTGTTTTTAGTATCTATTCAGAATGCCATACTGTTTGCATAATGTGAGGTCTCTCCCATTTACATCATGTTCCTATTTAGCGCTTTCATTCTTCTGTTGAACAAGTCTGACAACTGTTCCACCATAAAGCTTACAAGAATGGGCATTTTGGGCTTAGCCAGAAAAGTGCTGTACTGAGTAGCTTCACACTTGATGGGCCTTGACACCACTCCTAGTGGCTCCTGCACACATGCCTATGTTACATATTTTATGTCGTATATATAAATATTTGTACCAAATATTATACAGTAATACTAGAACCAATTTTTATATTTCATTTTATGTATTATCTGCTTATAAATAATTCCAGGTTGCTTATAAAACTAAAATTTTAAAAATGAATAATTAAAAATAAAAGTAGAATAGAGACTACATAAGTGTAATGAATAGTCACTAGCAGACACTTGGAATAGACTGATTATTACAAGTGATCACTAAGTTGAGCAGCTAATATCAATTAAATAATTATGCTGAATCCAATAGCACCACGTTTATCTTTAAAGACCAAAGGTTGTAATCTCTTAGATTCAGCTTGCAAATGTGTTTTGTATGGCAGATACCATGTTTTCAAATAGATCTGAATCTAAATACATATAAGCAAAGCATGGTGACCACATGCCCAACCAATCCTTCAAAAGATGTTATCAAACTCCCTTGAAAGATGTTTTATATAAATGTATTTATGAGCCTTGCCACATAGAAAAATGCTTTATTAGAACTTCATAAGTAGTTTACTTCACATAAATTTTAAACATTTTTAAAGGTATTATTTATTTATTTTTAGGCAGAAGGGAAGGGAGGGAGAAAGACAGAGAGAAACATCAATGTGCAGTTGTCTCTTCCATGCTCCCAACTGGGGACCTGGTCCACAACCCAGGCATGTGCCCTGACTAAACCAGCCACCTTTCATTTTGCAGACTGGCACTCAATCCACTGAGACACACCAGCCAGGATTGATCTTATACATAAATTTTATATAACATCTTCAGATATAGTTTTTAAAAATATAAGAAATACTATTCTACTTGATTACACTGCCCATTTCTATAAAGGCCCACACATACTAATAGATAAAAAGCAGAGTATCAGTTTCTGGTATTGCCTCACTCTCTCTAAGTTAATATCAGAACAAATGCTGGAAATTAAAAAGCATTATAGATTCACATCACACATCACATGAAAATACTTATACTGGATTTTAAATACTCCAGTTAGTTATGGCAAGTACTATTTTATTGTCAATAAAGATGATGATGAACTACATTTTGGTATAATAACTTAAATTATATTAATTCATGTAATTCTCTGTAATGTAATCTCTCATGTAATGATACCTATGAGATAGGTATCATTATTACATCCATTTTAGACAGAGATGTTAATTGCCCAAAGTCACATAGGAGCTAACTGATGAGCTGAGATTTGTAACCAAGCTGCCTGGGCTCAAGAATTCAAGCTCTTAACCCACAGTATATAGTTCACTGGATGTGAAGTAAAAGTTAGATGTGTAGGCTATGAGAAATAAAAACCACAATGTTATTCTATTATGAACACTGAAAACCTAGATTTATACTCAACCCATTTCAGCAGGGAGTAATGGTAGAAATTAAAAGTGTTTTTACCTCTAGATGATAAGCTTCTTTGAGGGATTCTACCTCTGCTGACAATTTCTTGATTTCTGCTTGCATTCTTGCTTCTAAATGAGCTTCACGTAGTTGAGAAGCCCCCAATTCTTCAACTAAATGGTTTCCATGAGCTTCCTTAAAAATTACATATTAAGTAAAGAATATGTAATTTATTTATTTGGTTACTACAGACAAGCCAATCTACTATATTTATGAAAGTACTCTAATCTTTACTGCATTATAAAGATTTATATACTAAGTTAACTTTTTAAAGGTACACTTTATATTGGTTTATTGTTTGTTACTTTAAGTTCATTGATCAATGCTTTCTGTAAAACAAACTAATAACCACAGTATACTGAACTTTGGCAGATAATAGTCTACTTTTAGGTATGCCCACACAACTTTGTTTATCAGAAATGCTATTTGCTTATCAAGAGTCATTTGTGTATTTATCCAAACCTATTTATGCTAATTGTGCTTGTGAATATAATGTCACTTTATCATACATTATGAACAATGATGAAATATGCAAGCAAAAGGAAGGTTTATATGAAAACTAAGTTATATGCTTTGAAACTACTCATAAATAAATCACAAACTGTTGCTATTCATAAAGAAGCAGTTAAGATAGTTGTAAAATGACAGGAAACCTAAAAAATATAAGAGATATACTGATTTTCAAATGTTTTGTAATTCTTCCACTATGTTTTTTTTTGATATCTAATTTATTTTAATTTTTCAATTAGCATTGACATTCAATCTTATTTTACTTAGTTTCAGATATATAGCATAGTGGTTAGACATTTATATAATTTACAAAGTGATCCTTCCAGTAATTCTAATACCCACCTAGTACTATACATAATTATTACATTATTATTATTGACCATAAAACCTATGCTGTACTTTATATTCCTGTGACTATTTTGGAACTACCAATCTGTACTTCTTAACCCCTTCACCTTTTCACCCAGCCCCCCAACACCCTTCCCATCTGGCAACTATCAGATTGTTCTCTGTATCTATGTGTCTCTTTTTGTTTTGTTTGCTCATTTATTTTGTTCTTTAGAATCCATATATAAGTAAAATCATATGGTATTTGTCTTTCTTTGTCTCTTCTTCAACTTTAAAGACACCACAATTGAAAACTATAGATGATGGATATGAGTACGGTTTGTTTAAGAAAGATCAGGCAGAATTCTAATCTGAATAACCCTACCCATACACAAAGAACCAAGACTGGTCCCACATTAAAAGATTAACTACAAATTTAATCTTAGAGTTTTGGGGTTAAAATAATATTTTAATAGTAATTTTCAATAATATCCCACATTCACTCATTTTTTGATTAATTGAGCTTATCAGATAAAATCAACTCTACTATACTTAGATACCATTGATAAGGACAGAAATGAGATGGAAGTACATAGTGTCTCTTCTCCTGGTAGACTCCCAAATGTTTTATTAATGTAATAAAAATTCCCTAAATATTCTTTATTAGACTAACCACCCAGAATGTGAATTATAAAACATTGTTAGGTTAATCAAAATTAAACATAAAAATACTTTAACTCTATTCCTATACTGAATTAGTAACCATAATAAAAAGCATACACCAAAAAACCCCACAAGAACTTTTCTAAAACACCAATAAATATACTTTTTCAAAGTCTGAGTAATCAATCCAAGTATACCAATTCCAATATTTTAAGCCAAGTTATTTACCTTATACCAAATGTTGTGCAAATAAAATATATAAATCTATCTATCTATCTATCTATCTATCTATCTATTTATTGTCATTGTTGTTCAAGTACATTTTTTCCATTTTCCTTCCACCACTCTCTCCTGTCCCTGCCCTTAAAATTTATATTAGTGCTCTTGCTTTTTAAAAACACCATACCTCCCCAAGTTTTCTGGACTACATGTTTCATAATAGTCATAAATTTAAATCACCAGTTTTCATTTATATGAGTGCCTACAAATGTAAAAACTCTCACCAAAAAAAGATTTATTAGCTTTATTTTTTCCTTCACAGTGATAGCTTAAACTCACCTAAAAAGTCTAGAAGTGTTTTATCATTCAATTTATTAAAAATTAATTATATTGGCCAAAACTCAGTTCTGAGGAACTTCCTAGCTACATTACAAAGCTATGCTACATATAACACATTTTATTCTCTTTATATAAAACTTACCACTTTGACCATTTTTAAGTGTATACTTTAGTAGCATTAAATACATTCACATTGTTGTGCGACACTGACTTTTACAAGAACAATATTCTACAGTTCAAAAAATGGTAAAATTTTTAAGATTTTCAATGAGGTAAAATTATTTAAAATAGAGATTACCTTCTCTTTAAAGAGTTGCTTTATTTCCTCCAGTTCACTTGAAAGCCTTTCTATTTCTCTCTGTGCTTGGATTTGTTGGCGATGAGCCTCCACCAATTCGGTATGAGAGCTCTGCATCTGCTCCCGGGTTAGCCTCAATTCTTGCTCCAAATCTATGGCCCCCTTATATTGAGTTGCAATGTATTGTTCCTGCTCTTTGATAACCTGAAATACACAAGATATCTGTAAGTTTAGAAATGAAATGATACAGATGACCAATATCTTATTTTGATTGTTTTAATAAGTGACTTCGCTCCTCCCAACTAAATCTATAAAATTTAATAGACAATAAATATGGTACACTGTGAAACTGATATCCAGAAAATGTTTTTTTTACTTTTTTAATGACAAGAAAATAAATGTACTATAATAAATCTGGGATTCACTGGTATATTTTGCATAACTTTAATATGCAAGCTGTATAATCCTTTATTATTATGAATATCACATGACAGAACATACAATATAAAGAGAAAAAAGTTAATATTTGATTATCCATATCAAATACAGGAAATATATTAGCATGAATAATCAAAACTCACCGTTAATTCACACAGCTGGGTTAAGATTATGACCTTTCTTCCTGTGAGGTAAAATGTGTCACCGAGACTGCTATTCTTTCTGAAATACTTTTATTTTACTCAGTTAAGTCCCTATTATTGTTTTAATCAGTGAAAAGTTAGTTCTAAATTAGCTTGATATGGCGGGAAGTAATGACATTTGATTTTAGGACTGATAAGAAGGAAAGAAACCTGCACAAATCACTAGGACCCTGATGTCTGGAATGGGGGCCCATCGTCCAACTCTGTTGTATGTCAATATAAATCCCTTGTTAGGGAACACTAAATGACTGAGCCAGTAATAATGTCTTTCCCCAATGGAGCCCAAACTTGTTCTCAGAGACCCTGCTTAATTTATTTATTTTTCTTTTTTTTTTAACTTTTTTATTGATTATGCCATTACATTTGTTCTATTCCCCCCTCCATTCCCCTCCACCCTGCATACCCCTCCCCCACCATTTCCCCCTTTAGTTCATGAACATGTGTCTCAAATTCTTTAGATTCTGTATTTCCCATACTATTCTTACCCTCCCCCTATCTATTTTCTATCTACTGTCTATGCTACTTATTTTCTGTATCTTCTGCCCCCTTCTCCTCCTCCCACTCCTCTATTGCTAACCCCCCATGTGATCTTCATTTCTATGGTTCTGCTCCTGATCTAGCTGTCCTTTTAGTTTGATTTTGTTTTAGGTGTGGTTCTTCATAACTGTGAGTTTGCTGTCCTTTCACTGTTCATCTTTTTTATCTTCTTTTCCTTAGGTAAGTCCCTTTAACGTTTCATATAATAAGGGTTTGGTGATGATGAACTTCTTGAATTTGATCTTATCTGAGAAGCACTTTATCTGTCCTTCCATTCTAAATGAAAACTTTGCTGGATAGAGCAATCTTGGTTGTAGGTCTTTGGTTTTCATGACTTGGAATACTTCTTTCCAGCCCCTTCTTGCCTGGAAGGTCTCTTTCGAGAAATCAGCTGACTGATGGGAACTCCTTTGTAGGTGACTGTCCCCTTAGCTCTTGCTGCTTCTAGGATTCTCTCCTTCATTTTAATCTTGGCTAATGTAATGATGATGTGCCTTGGTGTGTTTCTTCTTGGGTCCAACTTCTTTGGGACTCTCTGAGCTTCCTGGATTTCCTGGAAGTCTATTTCCTCTGCCAGAATGGGGAAGTTCTCTTTTATTATTTGTTCAAATAAGGTTTCCACTCATGACTGTTTCTCTTCCCCTTCTGGTACCCCTATAATTCGAATGTTGGAGAGTTTAAAGATGTCCTGGAGGTTCCTAAGCTTCTCCTCATTTTTTTGAATTCTTGTTTCTTCATTCTTTTCTGTTTGATCATTTTTTTCTTCCTTCTGGTCCACTCCATTGATTTGAGTCCCAATCTCCTTTCCATTACTATTGGTTTCCTTTGTATTACCATTCATTTCAATTAGTTTAGCTTCCATATGTTTCTCTAATTTGTGACTAAAATCAACCAGTTCTGTAAGGATCCTGATAACCAGTGTTTTGAACTGTGCATCTGAAAGATTGGCTATTTCTTCATCGCTTAGATCGATCGGTTCTGGGGCTCTGAGTCAAAAATAGAGCCATTTTTGGTCTATTCACGCTGTTAAGTAAGCGGAGCGAAGCCTTAATTGTTTACCAGGACAGGGCAACCCAGGTCGCTGGTTTGTGACGCTGTGTGTGGGTGCGTGGTCAGAGAGGGAGCAATGGCGGTCCTCTCCGCTAGCCCAGTCCGTCCAGTCACACCACTCGCCCCGGGCCTGTTTATCCGATCGGAATTGTGCGAGCCTGCTGTCCCGCGAAGGCTCCCCTCCTCACTGGTTTATCTGCACGCAGATGTGCAACCGACCGTAGACAGCCTGCCACGCCTCTTCCCTGTGTGCTCCCGTAGCTAGCCCACGATCTGTGCCTTCGGCTGCTCGCGCACCACCCATTCGCGCACCACCCGTTCGGGGATTTTTTCTTGCCAACCTGCTCCACTGCTGGCTTCACTCCTCTTACCGGTTTAGCTGAGCATTTAGTCTTTGGACTCCGTATTGTCGATTTTCTGTGTGGCTTGGTTGTGTTTATTGTTGTTAAAAATAGTTGTTCTTAGATTTGGTTGTGCACAGAGGCAAGGTGGTTCCACCTACACCTCCATCTTGGCGGAAGTCCACCCTGCTTAATTTAGTAGTAATTCAACTAATATTTATTCATGCTTACTATGGGATATGTACCATTATAGGTGTTGATACAAGAGTGAACACAGGAGACAAAGTGGCCCCCTGTTATGGATTTTAGTGTACTGGAATTGGTTAATCAGTTAGTCAAATACAATAAAGAGCAATAGTCTGGGCTGGTGTAGCTCAGTGGATTGAGCATGGGCCTGTGAAGCAAAGGGTCATCAGTTTGATTCCTAGTCAGGACACATGCCTAGGTTGCAGGACAGGTCCTCAGTAGGGGACACATGAGAGGCAACCACACATTGATGTTTCTCTCCCACTCTTTCTCCTTCCCTTCCCCTCTCTCTATAAATAAATTAAAATTTTTTAAATAACAATTAAAAAATAATAATATAGGGTCCAGCACAGATAATGCTTCTTTTTTATACATAAAAATCTTTTATTGCAAAACCATATGCAAACATATAATTCTTTAACATAAAAATATCAGACTAAAGCACACCATATGACATTTTAGATGAAATGTTCAAATTGCTGTCCATCTCATGTGAGACGTTCATGTACCCTACTAACACTCTCAGGGACATTACTTCTGCTGAACCTGTATAAAGTCTTAAAGTTGAATACGGTATTTAAAAGCAAGAGAAAGTACAACCACAAGAACTCTTACAAGCAATTTCAGTTTTGTTTTTTTTAAAGATCCATTTATTTATTTCTAAAAAGAGGGGAAGTGAGGGAGGGAAAGAAACATCGATGTGAAAGAGAAACATCGATTAGCTGCTGCCTGCATGCCCCCAACCTAGAACCTGGCCCACAACCAAAGAATGCGCCCTGACCAGCAAACTGGAGACCTTTTAGTTCATGGGACAACACCCAACTCCTAAGCTACACCAGTCAGGGCAGGAATTTTAGTTTTTTAAAAGCAAGTGGATAAAATGGGTTCACAACTCAATACACAAGCAAACTGATAATTATTCATCTGGCAACTCACTAGAATGTCATAATAAAATATTTAATAAGATCAAAGAAACTAGTATCAGGCCCAAATAATTAGGCTAAAATATTTATGACAAAGTTTCTGTATACCAAAACCAAGCAATTTAAAATATAAATATTTATATCACTTTCCAGATCACGTACTACATGTTTCTTAGAAGGAAAATAATTTGCTCACACTTTCCATTTCTTCCATCTTTTGTTGTGCTCTTTCAGTTTCCTTTTTCAGTTGACTGATCTCCTGGTCATTTTGTAGTGTTATAAATTCTTTTTCTCGGAGCTGTTCTTTGGCATTTTGCAATTTTTCATTCAAACTTTCAATCTGAGTTTTAAACAGAACAATATTAATGTAACTAAATATAAAAACATTTTTAAGACAACTGCAATTTAGATATAAATGTCAGAACGCTTGTGCCTAATAAGATGCTTATATATATACCTAACTATGCTAAAAGAGATGATGGTTTCAATCATATTTGTATAACAAAAAAAATTAGGGTACATTAAAATGGCAAATGTTACATGGCCTTAAAAAATTTATAGGTAGTATGTGCATGAGGTAAAAAATATGGTTAGTGAAAAAGTCCACTTTGCACTGTGTTCCTTCCTTCACCACAACCAGTTAACAGAATTACCTGCAAATTCTTTCAGACATGTTTTATACATATTCACACATGCCCACATTATAAATCTGTAGACACAATGACCCAAGTAAAAGTACATTTAAAATAACACTAAGAGGGTAGTCGACAAGGGCTAGGGGATGAGGGAAATATTGAACTGTAGGTCATAGGGTCCAAAATTGCAGTTATGCAAGATGAATAAATTCTGTAGATCTAATATAAAGCATTTTGACTATAGTTAATAATATTGTATAGCATACTTGAGATTTGCTAAGATAACACATCTTAAGTCTTGTCACCAAAATAAAAACAAAGAAACCTAAGTGAGGTGAAGATATGTTAATTAGCTTGATTGTGTAATTATTTCACAATGTGTGTATATATATATATATATATATATATATATATATATATATATATCAAACATGTTTCACACCTTAAATATATGCAATTTTTGAAAGATTTTATTTATTTTTAGATAGAGGGGAAGGGAGAAAGAAAAAGAGGGAGAGAAACATCGATGTGTGGTTGCCTCTGATAGGTGCCCAACCAAGTACTCAGCCCCACAACCCAGGCATGTGCCCTGACTGAGAATTGAACCAGCAACAATTTGGTTTGTAGGCCAGTACTAGTTCATAGGCCAGAACTCAATTTACTGAGCCACACCAGCCACGGCTATATGTGCAATTTTTATTTGTCAGTAATACCTCAATAACACTGGGGGAAAATATTAAGAGGAGAAAAAGAAACATAAAGTAACATGTACAAAATAATTACAATTTTTCTTATATTCAGTCTATTAAAAAGCCATGTTATATGAATAATGAATGCTTAAAGAATTTTTAAAAAAATTAAAATATGTAATTTTTATAATTTACCTGTTTGTTGCATTCTTTAACTTCCAATTCTGATTTTTCCAGGGTACCCTCTAATTTAATTATTTTCTGTTCCATTTCTCCTCTGTGCTCACGAATAGTCATATCCAAATGTGTAACCTAAATACAAAAGTAACATTAAACTATCATTCAATTTTATTCTAATGTGAAAAATTGTGTGCTTTGAATGTTTTAGAATTATTTATAGAGACTTCTGGCCAAGATGAAGGCATAGGCGGAAATACTGTGCCTCCTCGCACAACCAAATTTAAGGACAACAAAGACTTAGAAACAAAACACAACCAGAGCGGACAGAAAATTGAACTGCACCAAAGTCCGATAACAACAAGCCATTCATCCAGACCGGTAAGAGGGGTGGAGTCAGCGGCCTGTGAAGAGGGGTCTCAGCAGGAAAAAGTAGTGGTTGGCACACCCGGGCATGGGGAGGAAATGAGCAAACCCAACCCAGTGAGGTGCACAAGGCCTCTGACTGTGAATACACATTCGCGTGCAGATAAATCAGGCAAAAACGAGCAGTAAGAAAGACCGCGAAACCCAGGAACAGGAAATAAAGCCTAAAAGCACCGATTGAAAAAACTTGCGAGGAATGGGGTGCCAGGAGAGACTCCCAGCCTCACAGGAGAGTTGGTTAGAGAGACCCACAGGGTCCTAGAATGTTCACAAGCCCACCAACCCGGAAACCAGCACCAGAAGAGCCCAATTTGCTTGTGAGAAGTGGAAGAGGGGACCAAAATTCAAGAGAGAGCAGAGCAAGCACTATTGTTCCCTTTCTGACCCCACCCCCACATAGAGCATCACAACCCAGAAACTGGGTTGACCTGCCCTGGTGAACACCTAAGGCTCTGCCGCTTACTATGTAACAGGCACAACAAGACCCCCCCAAAAACATGGCTCAAATGGAAGAAAAGATCAAAGCACCAGAGCCAACCTAAGTGACCAAGAGCCAACCTATCAGATGCACAGTTCAAAACACTGGTGATCAGGATGCTCACAGAACTGGTTGATTTTAGTCACAATTTAGAGGAACAAATGAAGGCTACACTAAGTGAAATGAAGGAAAATGAACAGGGAACCACTAGTGATAGAAAGAAAACTAAGATTCAAATCAATGGACTGGACCAGAAGGAAGAAAGAAACAACCAAACACAATAGAAGGAAAAAACAAGAATTCAAAAAAAAATGAGGAGAGGCTTAGGAACCTCCAGGACATCTTTAAATGTTCCAACATCCAAATTATAGAGGCACCAGAAGGAGAAAAAGAAGAGCAACAAGTGAAAAACTTATTTGAATAAATAATAAAGAAGAACTTCCCCAGTCTGGCAAAAAAAATAGATTTCCAGGAAATCCAGGAAGCTCAGAGAGTCCCAAAGAAGGTGGACCCAAGAAGGAACACACCAAGGCACATCATCATTACATTAGCCAAAATTAAAATGAAGGAGAGAATCCTAGAAGCAGCAAGAGATAAGGGGACAGTCACCTACAAAGGAGTCCCCATCAGACCGTCAGCGGATTTCTCAAAAGAGACCTTACAGGTAAGAAGGGGCTGGAAAGAAGTATTCCAACTCATGAAATCCAAAGACCTACAACCCAGATTGCTCTATCCAGCAAAGCTTTCATGTAGAATGGAAGGACAGATAAAGTGCTTCTCAGATAAGGTCAAATTCAAGGAGTTCATCATCAGCGAGCCATTATTATATGAAATGTTAAAGGGACTTATCTAAGAAAAAGGATAAAAAAGATGAACAGTGAAAAGACAGCAAACTCACAGTTATTAACAACCATATCTAAAACAAAAGCAAACTAAGCAGACAGCTAGACCAGGAGTGGAGCCACAGAAATGGAGATGACATGGAGAGTTAGCAACAAGGGAGTGGGAGGAGGAGAAGGAGGGAGAAGGTACAGAGAATAAGTACCATAGATGGTGGGGAGAAAATACACAGGAAAAGGGTGAGAGTAATGTGGGAAATATAGACGCTAAAGAACTTATGACACATGGACATGAACTAAAAGGGGGAAAAGTGGGGGAAAGTGAGGGAGAGGGGATGTGGAGGAGAATGAAGGGGGGAATTGGGACAACTGTAATGGCATTATCAATGAATTATATTTTAAAAAAACACTGGTAATCAGGATGCTCACAGAATGGTTGAGTATGGTTGCAAAATGGAGGAAAAATTAAAGGCTATGCAGAGTGAAATGAAGAGAAAGGTAGAGAAAACCAACAGAGAAGGAAAGAAAACTGAGACTCAAATCAATGATTTGGAGTACTAGGAAAAAAATAAACATTCAACCAGAACAGAATGAAGAAACAAGAATTCCAAAAAATAAGGAGAGGCTTAGGAACCTATGGGACAACTTTAAACATTCCAATCTGAATCACAGAGGTGCCAGAAGGAGAAGAGAAAAAGCAAGAAATGGAAAACATTTGAAAAATAAATTTTGGAGAACTCCCCTAATCTGGCAAAGGAAATAGACTTCCAAGAAGTCCAGGAAGCTCAGAGAGTCCCAAAGAAGATGGATCCAAGGAAGCACACACCAAGGCATATCAAAGTTACATTATCCAAAATTAAAGATGAGAAAAGAATCTTAAAAGCAGCAAGAGAAAAGGAGTTCCCATCAGACTGTCAGCAGATTTCTCAAAAGAGACCTTACAGGCAAGAAGGGGCTGGAAAGAAGTATTCCAACTCATGAAATCCAAAGACCTACACCCAAAACTGATCTATCCAGCAAAACTTTCATTTAGAACGGAAAGGCAGATAAAGTGCTTCTCAGATAAGATCAAATTCAAGAAGTTCATCATCACCAAGCCCTTATTATATGAAATGTTAAAGGGACTTACCTAAGGAAAAGAAGATAAAAAAGATGAACAGTGAAAGGAAAGCAAACTCACAGTTATTAACAACCACACCTAAAACAAAAGCAAACTAAAAGGATAGCTAGATCAGGAGCAGAACCATAGAAATGAAGATCACATGGAGGGTTAGCAACAGGGGAGTGGGAGGAGGAGAAGGGGGGAGAAGGTACAGAAAATAAGTAGCATAAATGGTAGGTAGAAAATAGATAGGGGGGAGGGCAAGAATAATAGGGGAGATATAGAATCTAAAGAACTTGAGACACATGGTCATAAACTAAAGTGGGGGAATGGTGGGGGAGGGGGTGTGCAGAGTGGAGGGCAATGAAGGGGGAGAATAGAACAACTGTAATGGCATAATCAATAAAATATATTAAAAAATAAAAAATAAAATCAAAGGGCAGTAAAGTGCTTCTCATATTAAGTCAAGTTGAAGGAATTCATCATCCCTAAACCCTTATTATATGATATATTAATATTAAGGGGACTTATCTAAGAAAAAGATAATCCAAAATATGAACAGTAAAATGACAATAAACTCACAACTATCAACAACTCATGCTAAAAAAAACGCAAAACCCCAAAAAACAAACTAACCAAACAACTAGAATAAGAACAGAATCACAGAAATGGAGATCATAAGGAGGGTTATCGGTGGGGAGGAGGTGGGGGGAAAAGGTACAGGAAATAAGCATAAATGGTAGCTATTTTTATGCTATTAAATATACGTGCTATTTAATGGCGTAATATGTCTATTTTGTCTACAAAATAGACAGGGGGAGGCTAAGAATAGCAGAAAAAATGGAGAAGCCAAAGAACTTATATGTAAGCCCCATGGACATGAACTAAGTGGCAGGGATATGGGTGGGAGGATGGGTGCAGGGCAGAGGGGAAATAAAGAGAGAAGAAATGGGACATCTATAATAGCATAATCAATAAAATATATCTAAAAAAAGAATTATTTATAGTGGGTATAACTGAAACAAACTGAAATAATTATTAAAAATAAGAAAAGTAATTATTGTTTACCAATACTGGATCTTGAATCTCATATATATTATAGAAACTTAAACAAAAATTATGTTTATAAATGAAAAAATTATTTAGACTTCATTTTATGCCAGATAAAAGCAACTAAATACAATACAATATAAAAATTGTGAAATGCAGCAAAAGCAAATGCTTGGAGAAAATTAATAGCACTAAATGCATATATGAGAAAAGAAAAAAGATCTAAAATCAATCATCTAAACTTCTACCTTGGGAAACTAGAGAAAGAAGAGCAAATTAAACACAAAGTAAACAGAAGGAAAGAAATACTATTAATTAGAGCAGGAATCAGTGAAATTAAAATTAGGAAATCAATGGAGAAAAATCAACAAAATCAAAAGCTATTTCTTTGAAAAGATCAATAACATTGATAAGTAACTAGCCAAGCTAACTAAAAAAGAGAGAGACATAAACTGCTAATTCAGAAATGAAAAAGGAGTCATTATTATAAATCTCATAGACATTGAAAAAAAATAAAGGAATACTATTAACAACTCTCTATGAATTTAATAAAACTAGATGAAAAAAATTAACAACCTTACAGATGGCAATATAGGCAGACATGGCTTGTCTCTTCACACAACCACCTCAAAATTACAACTAAAATAGATAACAACCATCACTCAAGAATGTCAGAAATCAAGCTGAGAAGTCTAATAATTATGGAATTGAAGAAACCACACCCATCCAGGCTGGTAGGAGGGATGTGACACCAAACAGGCTGGGCCCACACCCATGTGGATAAAAACTGCGGAGAGATATCTCAGGAGTGAGGAGTCCCAGACCCATGCCAGGCACTCCAACCCAGGAATCTAGGGCCAGGGAGATAAGTCCCACAACTTCTGGCTGCAAAAACCAGCAGGGATTGAGTAGGTGAAGAAGGGTACCCTAAGTAGTTCCTCTTAAGGAACGCACAATGGACTCACCTACTCAACTCACTTCCTCTGAGCTCCAGGGTGGTAGCTTAAAGAGCACCAGTTGTATTCAGGGAGAGACTGAAGTGTCTGGCACTGGGGCGAGCAGAGGCCATTGTCTCTTTGCTGAGCCCTCCCTGCACAAAGCTGGTAGCTGGCACCACATCTGAGACTCCGTCAAACTGGCTAACACTGTGTGACCCACCTTGGAGACCCACAGAGGCTCTAGCCCACCCAACTTATGGGCAAACCCAAGCTACTTTTCCATAAAAATAGCTGGTCTTGGC